TGGCTCACTTACTAATTTATCTGCTATCTCAGTTAAAAGATAAACTGGAAATCAGTCGTGGGTGTAAGACTCTTCAATGCTGATAATGGGGGGAGAGAATGAAACCCCAAGTAACCACGGTGACCTCTAACCAGGCAATGGCCACGGTGACCTCTAACCAGGCAATGGCCAAATATGGTCTGGGAAACGTTTTGTCAAAACAAAGACCTGGCATCGGGAAACAGATGGCAAAATTCCTGCTAAGGCCCCAGAGGGGGCATTTCTGCCCTGACAAGGAAGAGGGGCTGTTTCCTCACCCCTCTGGCCAAGTCCTGGTAATAAGCCGCCTGCTCCTGTTCGCTTGGCGGAGGAAGTAGCTCTCATGGGAGACAACATGCACCCCCTGGCTCCAAACTCAGTCATCAGGTCTACGCAGACTCTACAGGACAATTAGAATGGCCCCTGTGAGTTTTTAGGGCTGTACCTCTTTACAGGAGTACAAAGTCTCATCTTTCCCCCGGAGGAGCACCTGGTGGCTTCGAACTGGTGAGGTTGGGGTTAGTAGCCCAATGCATAACCCACTGTGCCACCAGGGCTCCTTGCATTAGCAAGGTGAAAATCACTACAGCAGGCCCAGTCACTCTGGATGAGCTTCAGGAATGAAATATAGAGGGGTTTCCTAGTCAAGAAGGTAGCATTCTCTTAATTAAACATCCAAATCCCCTGCCAGAGTTGATTCTGACTTAGAGGGTTCCCAAGGTCAGCAGTTCTAAACCACCAGCTGCTCCCTGCAGGAGAAAGCTGAGGTTAGCCTTGCTCAATGTGCACCCTCATGAGATTTATCACTGAAGATATGGGTACCACAGCCAAGTGTGGCGAAATCAGATAATGCCCATCTATCAGAAAGAAAACGGTCTGGGGCATTTTTTTGGTTTTGTTTTGTGTTATTTGTGTCTTTGGGGTATTTTTTAAAGGCTTGTCTTAAAACAGGCAGCCATCTAAGTGAAGTGTCAGCTAAATCCATATGGAAGACTAGCCTGTGTGATCCAAGGATTGTAAATAATAAAATCCAAATATGGACGAGGGAATGATATCAGAGCTTAAATTCTGAACACCTGGCTAAGGATGACAGTGGAAGCCCAAATCCATTTGCAGGGTCCTCCCCTGGATTAAGCCTCTGGTGAATCCCTTATGACCAGTCCAGGGATGTGAAGCGCCTTGCAACCAGAGTGCAATGTAACATCTATTATGGCAAATGTGACTGGTTAAATTTAATCCATTATCATTTGATCTCCCTTTTGACCCATTTTTAACATTTTCTGCATTTTTATGGAGACTTTTTGTTTTGTCAGTTATTTCTTTGTTGCCTTTATGTTTTTCAGTATAAGTAAATCTAGAGAGACAGTAATTGGATTAGTAATTTTCTAGGAGCATGGCAAGGGAGGTTGGGGGAAATTCGGAGCCAAGAACAAACACAAGGAAAAAAGCATGTTCTCAAATTGACTGTGGTGGTGCTTGTACTACTTTAATATGATTGGACTGTTTAATTGTATGGCATATGGGAAGTATATGCCAACAAGACTTTTTTTTTAAGTTACGGCCTCAACAACCCACAGGGCAGTTCTACCCTTCTGTATCAGGTTGCTGGGTCAGAACTGCCTGGACGGCTGGGAGTTTGGTTTGGAAAGGAACCCTGGAAGGAGTGCTGTCAGGGGAGCCTGGGAACGCTCACTACAAGGTCAGTGGTTGAAACCCACAAGCTGCTCTGCTCCAGGACAGATTTACAGCCCTGGAAATCCTACAGACAGATGCTGAGTCAACCTGTCTGTAACTCAACCTGATGGCAGCGGGCTCGAGTTTGAATTTTCATAGGAAGGAGTAAACGGTTCCTTAGGTTTCCAGAGACTGTACATTTTCACAGGAGCAGACAGCCCCACCTCTCTCTTACGGAGCATTGAAATGGCAAATGCTAACCCAAGGTGCCATCAGCCTGCTTAGTTGTCTTAGGTTTTCTGACAATGCTTCAGAAAAGGAATCACTCCTGAATTTGGAGGTTTCTTGGGTTCTCTGACCCATGTTTTGGCTTCCCAAGTGGCAGCTACCACTCACGGTGACCCTTTCAGACCACCAAGTCACAAGGAGTGCCGCCTTCTTCCCCTAACTCCACTCTGAACCTGCGCAGGGCTGAAAGAAAACCACTTCTCTCAGATTGGGGTCTATAAACTCGCTGTCACAGATGGCTGGCAAATGCCTGTGAAACGGTGCATCAATGGTCAGGCTGCATCGCCAGCAAATCAGGATAAAGAGCCCACCGACGCCTAGTCCACACACCTACATTTCGTTTTCTGACCTGGGTGAAATCCTGGATAAATGCTCGAGAACGCTTCATGTCTGTATACTCTGTATGCAGATTTTTTTAAATGTGCATTTCACAAGTTGCCAATCGACGAACTTAAGATTAAGCAGCAGCAAAACTTAACACAAAATCAGGAGACAATGGTATTTGGGAAAGAAAAAACAGACACCAGACTTTATTCTGAGAGTAACCACGGGCTGAGATGAACACTCGCAGTAGACTGACTGGGTCAGAGTTTAGAAACAAAGGACCCGCCCTCAGGGGGGCAGCTTTGCATTTACAGCAGAGGGAGGTTCTCAGCCTGTGGGTTGGGACCCCTTTGGGGGCCGAATGACCCTTTCAGAGGGGTCGCTCGATTCATAACAGCAGCAAAATGACATAGTTATGAAGTAGCAACGACAATAATTGTTTGGGGGAAGTCACAACACAAGGAACTGTATGAAAGGGTCACGGCATGAGGAAGGGGGAGAACCACTGCTTTACAGCATTTCCACAGGCTAGACTGTAACGGCGTAGGTAAATGATCGAGGCTACAAAGTAGCCTCTTTGTAGAATCAGGAATGACACAACACCCTAAAGATTTTTTCCCCCCAAAGGACACAGGCTGATCATGGAGGCTTCTTAAGAAGTTTCATGAAAACTGCATTGCTGAGAAAAAGGACAGGCGAGTGGCACCTTGGGCCAACGCTCTTGCTCTTCCTCCACAGTAAAGGTGGCCCCGCGAGGATCGCCTTGGGGACTCTTACTCTAACCGCCCTACAGCCCTGCCTCAGAGAATGAAAGACCCCGGTTCACAGAACATGGGAAGGGAGCGCGACTTGGGGAATGCCGTTTTGATGCGTGTAAGGCAGACAGAGGTTACTTCCTAACCTCGGCAAACGACAACGGTTTCTCTATGTACCCTTTCAAAGTCATTATGAAGACCCCTCCTTTCGCTGAAAGTCTCGTGGAACGGACCTCCCAAGGGCAGAAAGGAGAAAAAAGTGTAAGCAACGTGTCCACCTGTAATAGCAGGGATTCTACAGAATGAGTGGGGCCAATTCCACATACCTGATAGCTTTCACTTTCAGGCCGTGACAGACATTCAAAAGATATAAAGATGACCCTCTAAGTATTGTTAAAGCATATATTAACTGTGCTTTTCCACTCAACAGTCTTGTAGACGACCACATATGTAGAAATAGGAATTCGAAATATTTCAGTTGTTTGAATATACAAAACCAAATAAGGAACAAGGGCCTAAGCTAGTTTATGAAGTTTGAATTATTGTGATTTAAGGCTCTTGTTAGTTTGTTTTGCAAGCTAATTTACATAATTCCCTCTGCTACAGAACACTCCTTAGAAGCCGGGATACTTTGGACATGGTATCAGACATTATCCATCCCTGGAGGGCACTGTGTCTGATGGGCTAAGTGGAAAGCAGGAAGATCCCCGAGGAGCTGGCTGACACAGTGGCCACCCCCATGGCCTCAAACACAGCAATGACAGTGCGGATGGCACTGTTTCTTCAAGTTGGAAACGAGTGGGTGACATCTAACAACTACTACAGGTGCCCTCGTTTGTTCAGACTGTTAGATACAGGTCTACTCACTCTCGATCCTCAAACATCTACCCTTGTTTGTCCTCTGTTCACTTCCGGCCTCACATGGTCCCTACCCTCTCTTCCTTCTTTCCCACCCCCCTACTGACCTCCCTGGCACCCTTGGCCCTCACCTAGCCTCCCCTTGACTTTGTGCTGTCCTACTCTCACCCTGTGCCCCTTATAGCCACCTGGAGATGCTGCAGACAAACAGGCGAAGAGCTGCCTCCGCCTGTTGGCCACATCCCTTGCATGCCTCGGCGCCTGCTTGGGATGGTCAGGGAGGACACCTCAGGCCTGGCTGCAGCCCCAGGTTGCAAATGTCAAACACCGAGAGTTGCTAAGTGAGGGGCAGGTGTACTATTGTTTATAATAACCCACACCGGCTAAGAGCCTCCCTCCGCTGTGTGTGTTATGCACACTGACATGCTGAAGCAGTCTTCCTAGGCCGGGTGCCTGCCATTCACAGGGGCATGAATGACCACCACCGGCAGTCATGACGCTGCGCTCTGGTGCGGGCTTGTGCAGTTCTTTGATCATGCTGCTGGGTTTTGTCTTTGCATTTCACTGAACATGTGAAAAATAAAAACTCAAATGACTGATGGAAGAACCACTGACCTCTGTATTTAGCACAACGGAGACAAACTGAAATCAAGAGCTCTTTCGTCTCAACAGAGGCTCACATAAGCCAGGATGTAAGTCAGCTGGCTGTGTGTGATTGAGAGAAAGAGCAAACTCAGAAAACGTGTAGAAAACAATAGAAATCCTCTGTCTAAGATGATGTCTAAAAAGCGAAAGGTAATTAGGAATTCTAGAAGGATTTAAGATTTCTATCCCTCTTCCCTGTGAGATAGTTTAACCTGCTTTACGGGGAGGCTTCAAGAAATTCATGAAAAGAAGTAAAAGATAATAGAATTTTTCCAAGCATCTTTTACAGCCCACTCCCTGGTACCCTGCAGAACCAGTTTTCACCTAGATTTTCAAGAATTCCTTTATGTTTTTATTTACTGATTCTGTACAATTTAAGGAAAAATTTCTTTTAGCAACCAACAAATGCAAACCAAGAAATTTAACCTACAGCAAAAGTGCTACACAAGAGACATTTATTAATGTTCTGTTGTATTTACAGTTTTAACATAGCAAACCAAGGTGAATTACCACTTGGAAGAAAGCGCGTCATTGTACATTTGTAACGCATCAGTTTCTGCTAACACATTGTAGAAGCAAGTAGTACAGTATGTTAGGGATCGTCTCAAAAGTTGCAAGCTGATTCTTTGTTTGTTCCTAGTACCTAAACTCCTCCCCACTGCAGGTTCCTTGCTAACTGTCAGGAGACAAAAGAAAAGGAAAAGAAAGGGTAGGGGCTCTATTCATATATAAAGTGTCAGGAGTTGCATTTTAGTAATTAAATTGCATGTGTGTTCTTGTCCTTTTTCTTTTATAGTGACATCTTTAGAATCCCTTAGAATACCACAGAATAAGGTACCGCAAAATTGAGAACACAGACTATAAAAATGGAACACTTATTTACCAATTAAGAACATAGTTTTGGTCACACCTTAAATGTATTTTGCACTATGATTTTGCTTTGCAGTGTTCTCACAGTACAAGTGAATAAGTTTCTAACTTTAACAGCAAATAGGTACTATGTGCAGAAATGCAGTCATAACAAAAGTTTAACTTTTGTGAAAACCCCTTTAAAATGACCAGCATTATACATATCTTACACTAAGATAGTTAATTCCAAATTCATTTTGAGATGGAGAACGGATAAAGCAAGATTGCCCCCTACTGACTACAGGGACGTGGCTCATGCTATTGAAAATGACTACAAACAATATATAAGGCATTACTAATACATCACAGACTTGATTGCGAGAGCTTGTTCAAACATTCACCACTAATGATTCAATGATTACAGAATTCTGCACTATTAAAATTTTACACCTACGAACAAATAGAGAGAAATGATCTTCTTTGACAGTACTTTCTTTATTTTTGTAAAGCAGGTGATTTCTCCCGGGTTCTGCATCTTGATTCACTTCCTGCAGGTGTCCTCTGGCTTCTTGGGAGAGAATTCATAAACGCAGGAAGGCCTTTGCCAGAAAACATCTGCCAGAGGAGGAAATTGAACATTGAAACTCGCGTTAGCTTGTTATGTTGGCCACAAGAAGGATATAATCACAAAAGGAGGCAAAGGCAGGATGTTTGGAGACATGCGGATTTCATTTTGCATAGTTTCACAATTACCGTGCACTGACACCACAGTGCTCAATGGCACTGCAGCTCACAGGCTACCAAGGGCTCCAGAGTTACAAAGAAGAGGCAGGCTTTCTCTAAGTGCCCATGTGCCCATAGGGTCTCTCCCTCCAAACCAATGAACACAACACAACAGAAGCAGCACTTCTTCATGTCACGCTGCACAGCCCGGACAGCACAGCCCACACACTGCTCAGAGGCAGCAGACTCCGCCCATGTACACATTGCTTGCCTAATACATGAGGGATATTGCTTCCGCTGCCAGTCCTGCCAGATCACACACTAGAAGACTGACTTATAGACAAGGGAGCCAATTATGGCAGTCTGTACTCTACATAGTGCATGATTAGCTGCTGCTTTTTTTTTTTTTAAGATCAATGCATTTGGGGGGCATGTATGTATGACTCATTAAAAAAATCACTATAGTCTCAAATGAATGTTAAGAAAGGAAATAGATATATGACTGAAATAAGGGCTCTCAAAATAAGTGCCCCTACATTTTGCTATATACAAATCTCATCCGATACTTTTTGATCATTTCTGTACTGGCATAATAAATTATTCCCAGTAATGACTTCATGAAAACCACTTAGGAAATAGTACAAGGAACTCCCGGCATGAATGGCAATGGGCCCACAAAGAGCTCCACCGATTTCACAGGGGTTCGGTATCGAGTAAGGGCTTGGCTGGTGCTTAGCTTCCTTCCCTTCTCTTCAAAGTGTACTGCCCGAGTCCAAGAACCCCTGGCTTTACATCTTTTCTGATTATGTTAGCACACGGGTCTTTAAAAAGCTGCCAAAAATGTGGAGGAGCTACAACATGGACAGTAAGTGTCCTTTAAGTGGTCACTTTCCCTAACTTCAAATCCAGTTGTGCCTGGCTCTGAAGTAAACCATGCTTACAAGACTGCCTTTTCCTTAGACTGAGATATCTCAGCGTGTGCAAGGGCATTAGACACACAGGGAAATAAAGAACTCTAAAAGTCAAAGAGAAGAAAACTGGCTGTCTGATATCAAATGATGATTTATGCAATGAGGCCAGATTGATTATAAGCCTAGGTAACTTCTGAGTTTCATCAGTTTCCAATCATTGATAAAATAATGAGTATTAGGTTAACACAGAGTTTGTGAGGACATGAATGAAGCCCAGATAATTACTTGGTCAGTTGCATGCTGCTTCAGCATAGAAACATCTGCGGTAATAGATCCCTCCAAGTCAGTCTGTGACCCTCGACATGCACGAAAAATCTAGATGGATTATCAAGGGTCATCTCAAACTTCACACCCATGCCAAATGAAGTGCACTGCCCAGAGGCACCCTCACTGTCTCCCGCTGTGTGGCAGAAACTTGGGGGGCACACGGAGCGGAAGTCAACAGGTGTTGGGACGGTGGACATCATTATTAAGGGCAGGTCAGGGCGCTCTGAAGGATTCCAAAAGCCTTCAGATAATTTCATTTCAAAAAGACACTCACTTCTTGGGCACTATGAGAACAAGGAAGCAATATCGGTAACACTTGGGGATAAATCGAACTTGCAACTTGAGTTGAATTTCCTTTTATAAACTAGGAGCGTATGGGGGAGCGAGAAGGAAGGTGAGAGATGAGGAGGAATGTAAGCATTTGTCAGCACACGGGTAAGTTGCACAGTTCGGTACCTAATGAGTCTAGAGTTCCCAAGGCATTGTAATCACTTTCTAATTAAAAAGGGCCCTCGCTCATTAGTGCCAGCACTTAAAAACTTTTTTCTATTTAGATGTGATAATTTTTTTTTTTGCATACTAAATTTTAAAACCTAGTCTGCGTCACATGTCCGAGTGCTTTGAGGACAGTTTCAGTTCTAACCACTTAGCTGTGCTA